TTCAGGCAATAATTACCTGGGAAATTGAACGACAATACCAAATATGATACAAATCACATAGTCATGCACATAATTAGAAAATTTTAATAGTCAAGGACCAAATCTGATTCATGTATAATAGTCAAGGGACCAAACGTGAAATTTTTCTAAATATTATGAACATAGTACGAGATGAATGTTATTAAACATGATGCGTATATAGTAATATTTATATACATTAAACTTTGTTTTTATGAACTTTATGAAACTACTATAGAGTGAATGTAAATACATATGATATATATTTAGTTTAGTGTTTATGAACATTAATGTTTATGTTTATGGACATATAGAACAAATATTATGTACATTAAGCTTTATTTTTATGAACATATAGAATGAATATTATGAACCTCCAATAGAAAGTTAATAAAGTTTACATGACGTAATGCAGAGGTATTTAGAAAGTTAAATGATATAATGTAGGGTAAAATAGAAAAATAATAAAAAAATATTAAAATTAAAATAATATGAATCATTAATTTTAACAAATAATTACACCAATATTTTTTTAATTGCCATTAGAGATCTAACTTTATTGGCTTTTATTAAGTTTGTAGAAATAGATATAGGTGTAGATATAGAACATGGATCGATTATCAATAATCGATCTATTAATTACTTTTCTTCTTTGTTACATTGTAAAACAGCGATTTATGTGATTAAAAGTGGGTTTTCATGAAATCCTTGTCGTGCTACTCTCAGTTAGATATTAATTTATTACCTAGGACCCATATGTTAGAAAAAATCAATAGGACCCATATATATGTTAGAAAAATTCAATAGGACCCATATATATGTTAGAAAAATTCAATAGGACCCATATAGGATAAATGACCGAAATGTGTGGTCAACAGCGTGAAATTCCCAAAGTGTGTGGCGTTTTTTTTTTTTGACAATAATATGCAAAATTCCTTTGGGAGTTGCGTTTTTGGTTGTGTCCGGGCATTTTTTTTTTCCGGTATTTTCGTAAAACGCAAGAGGTAGTTGCGTTTACGTATTCGTATACGTAAAACGCATTACCTAAATGCGTTTTCTAGGGGATACGGTATAGGCAAAAACGCAACTTACTTTTGCGTTTTACGTATTATACCGAAAACGCAAAAGTAAATTGCGTTTTTTGGATTTTTTGTACCGGCACTTTCCGGCGACCGCGAAGAACCGCTAGAACCACAAAACGCAATTAGCACATGCGTTTTTGGTTTGAATAGGTAAAACGCAAGTGTGATTTGAAGGTGGACCACTTCAACCCACTAATCCTCTCCTCTCTCACCTTTTTTTACCATTATCTTCTTGCCCTTTTCGTCGTCTTTCTTTCCCTCTTTTCTGTCCTTCTTCTAATAACTGGTAATTCTTGGGAAGCCTTTTGGTTTTAATTATTCCCCTGATCAGAACCTCAAGTGCTTCTCGATTCAGAACTCTGATTCCCCCATAAGCCAATTCCAGGGCGGTGATCCCCAACAGCCAAATGTCTGCAGCCTGATTCCCATTCCCACCATTGTACACCTCCGGCGCGGCGGCCCAAGTCGAAATCTGGGTCGCCGGCAACGCCGAGTGAGACGAACATTCCACATTGGAAACTTGGTGTTCGTAGACCGTGGCAGCGAAACCCAGCATGATTTGAGGGCCGCTCTTCACGTAAACGTGGCCGGCGTTGACGTCGTCGGAGATTATCTTGTACACCATTTGTGAGTCAAGGTTCACGAGATAGTTGCGACGACGAGCTTCATTGATGTCTAAGGGCAAGAAGATAATGGTAAAAAACGCATTTCGGAGTTGCGTTTTACGTATTTTTTAGGATTATACGTAAAACGCATCTCCCAAATGCGTTTTAACGTATTCTATACGTCACATGAAAACGCATTTGGCAGATGCGTTTAACGTATACAATACGAAAAACGCAAGTCGTCTTTGCGTTTTACGTAAATAATGAAAAAAAAAAAAAAAAAACACCCGGGACAACTCCAAAAACGCAAGTGGTAACTGAATTTTACATATTTTTGTCCAAAAAAAAGTCCAGCACATATTTTTGGAATTTCTCTTGCCCATCTACACATTTCGGTCATTGATCCGACCCATATATATGTTAGAAAAATTCAATAGGACTCATGTTAGAAAAAATCAATGGCATCATTTTCAGGTTGAGTCGATTACACTAGCACTTACTAGTTGCTTCAGCTCAAGTTGGTTTACGAATTCAATGAAAAATTTAATATCAGGTCATTTAAAACTATAATACACCTACTTCTTTTAAAAAAATGTTGTAATTTAATATTTGAAAACTATAGTACACCTACTACTTTTAGAAAATAAACATCATATTACTTTCAATTAAAAATTATTGTCCACGGGACAACCCAGCCAGGTTGCTACCTTAGCATGAGAAGAAGTCTAATGAAATCTGGCAGCTAAGGCAGACTGATTGAGAAAAAGAATTGATGAACGTCTTAACAAGATGAGGGCCTCAACTCTGGAATCGTATAGGTCGGACGGCCTAACACCGAATAAATGGACGACTTCACTCTGGATCAGGAGCAGAGATAGGCCATGGGAGGCCAATACATCATTATATTACAAATCTATTAAAATTTAGAACGTCTTACAGAATTCAATGGCTCAATACTTGTAAATGAATTTGTTGGTTTTAGGATTTTTGAGCCCACGGAGGTCCAACACAACCGTTGGTTGGCGGATTCACCGTCAAATACGCTTATGTAAAATCTCTTGAAAAATAGAAAGGCAACTAGCAAGATAGGCTACTTTCCACTATAATTTCTGAATATTCCTCTTGTATTCTGTGAGCTATGCTGCCTCCTACACTTGGGAGGGCCCCCCGTTTTATAGCTGACTACCCCCTAACGATTAAATACAAATTTAATTTAAATGTGCAATAATGGGAAGATAAAGGGCTAAGAGTCGTTGGGTTGCCGTTACATGGCCTTCCCAACGGCTGGATTGACTCGCATTAATGGCGGGCCTTTAAGCAGCAACGGTCACTGGCTGGGCCGACTCTTGTTGGTGCCGACTCCCTAAACTTGGCTCTTCACTCAGTCGCGCTTTCCTCAGGGCCTGCCCACGGCCCACAGTGTAGATTTCCTCTTATCCCTTTTGGGCCTATTACGGCGAGCCCATCCTGTAGGTCCATTCTTTTTTGGGCTTCTAGCCCATTGGGCCCGCACCCCATCAACTGGTCCCTCACTTTCTAGTACTGATATGGGCGGCGCTCGTCCTGAGCTACCCCTCACCCCCTCCTCCGGATTCGCGGTGAACCTCGTTCGACCTACTGAGCGACCCTTCGCTGATTACGTGTCAGCCAACTCAGCGCTCATCGCGTGTTAGCCGACCCCTTGGTTACTATATGTGGGCCGACTCCCTGCCTATGGCGCGTTAGCCAACCCTGCAGTTAACGCCTGAGATTCGCGTTTTGTGCCAATCAGCCCCTTCTGCGGGCCTGGCAACTCTCGGCGACGACTTTTCTAGAATTTCCTAAGGGTTCGAACCCTTTCTTTTTTATTTTTTTTTTTTTTTTAGATGACCCTCTGGTCTTCTTACCGAGGAGTCGACAATGCTTAAAGTAAACACGCGATATCTTTCATTTAAGATTCTTCAAAAAGGAGCGGGAGTACATTGGGGGTCTAACCTTTTACTAGTGTATTTCTTTAAATGAACCGCGTTCCAAGTCTGATCGATGAGCCTTCCCTCCAACGTCTCTAGCTTATAAGTGCCGACCTGGATAACTGCTACGGGCCTTCTCATTTGATGGCGAACTTGCCTCCTTCGGTCGGTCGGCTAGCTTGCATATCCCTCAAGACCAGGTCTCCTATCTGGAACTGTCGAATCCGAGTCCATTTGTCCCGATATCGCTTGACGAATTGTTGATACTCGACCATCCTTGCATGTGCCACCTCCCTTCTTTCTTCTAAAAAATTATTTTCAATCTGAAGGTTTTCCTCATTCTCCCCATCCGAGTAGTGGATGACTCGGTGCGTAGGCTCCACGACTTCCAACGGGATCTTCGCTTCAAAACCGTAGGCCAGCGAGAAAGGACTCTCACCCGTGGCCCGTCTCTGTGTGGTCCAATATGCCCACAACACACGTTCCAACTCGTTAGCCCACTTTCCGCCGAAATCCTCGAGCTTCTTTCGAATACCATCCACAATGGTGCGATCTATGTTTTCTACTTGCCCGTTGGCTTGGGGGTAAGCAACCGACATCTTGGTGTGACGGATCCTATGCCGCTGACAGAACTCGGCGAAAAGTTGGCAATCGAACTATCGACCGTTATCGCTGACTTTATGCTCAGGGAGCCCAAAACGACAAATCACTTTCTTTCAAAGAAATCGTCGACACTGATACTCAGTAATCGTGGTCAATGGCTCGGCCTCCAGTCCTCCACCCACTTAGTGAAATAATCGATGTCCAAGTTGGTTGCATAGATAATAACTTTGAACCAACTTTTGATCATCATGCAATGTGAATCTGCTTAACAAGCTCAAAACATATATGAAAATTGTAGCAAAATTTCTTTAACTTTATAACGAATCTTGAATCATTCCAATCGGACACCGTATGCATTAAATATGCTTAGAATATCAAAATTGTTCGAGTCACCTTGATTTACATCCTCTCACATGCTTTGTCGAGTCGGAATGTGGGGCTCTTAGGGTTGGGGATTATTCAACCTTTTGAGAGAAGAATATCAAAGTTGTGCCAATTTTTGATAGAAAATGAATTCGACCTAAAGTCTTAATTATTACGACCAAACGGGAAAGAGCATTCATCCCATCCCTTTCCATCATTAATTATTAGCAACGTAACTCGAACATACTTCCGAATAAGCTAAATTAAAGGTCTTCACGTACTAGCCGTCAACAATGGAAAATAATGCGTAATTGCGAAGACTTTTCTCAATAACCATTTAATTTGTTGTTTTAAAGGCCATCATATCCCATATGACATTATTATTGATTACTTTTGTAGTGTCTATCAAAATGGGCAAGTTTTGGATTAGCTCCCTCCTCATCATCACACTACTTCTAGCCAACGGGTGGTTTTGCTATGGTTGTTGGGAAGAAGAAAGGTTTGCACTTTTGCAACTTAAATCCAACCTAAACGATCCAAATGGAAATTCTCTTCTTCTTCTCCCATTATGGATAGATGATAATAGATCTGACTGTTGTCAGGGCCGGATTTTAGGCTGTGCAAGCTGGGCTATCGCACAGGGCCCCCAATTTTAGAGGGGCCCCAAATTTTATAGGTCCAATATTTAATTTTTACCTAGCTAGTTTAGAAATAAAAATTAAGAGTTTTCAATTAAACTTAAAAGGTTCTATGAAGAGATGGTAAAAATGTGTATTTATTGTATTTTAACTTGGAGGTCAAAGGTTCAAAACTTGCATGTATTAATTTTAAAAATTGTGATTTTGGTAGGGCCACATTTATTTACCAGAACAGGCCACCAAAATTTAAAATACGGCCCTGACTGTTGTGAGTGGTCAAACGTGATTTGTGATACTACCACAAAGCATGTAGTTCAAATCTCTCTTGATTACACTAGGGTCCAACAAATCCAAGGTGATTGGCATTTCAATGCCTCTCTTTTCCTCCCTTTTAAAATGCTTAGGGTTCTCTCCTTGTCTCAGAATGGCTTGATTGGTTGGGTGGAGAATCAAGGTGAGATTGATATTATATTCTTTTTAAAATATTATAGGGTATATATATAATTATTTTAATAAATGATTGCATATAATTGTGATGTATGTTCTCTGTACAGGATTTGAGAAACTATCGGAATTAAGTAAGCTGGAAGTCCTAGATTTGTCTGGGAACAACTTCAATCGTAGTGTTCTTTTATCGCTCAGTCACCTCAAATCTCTTAAGTCTCTCAATCTTGATCTCAATTCTTTAGATGGATTTGGTAATCGTAATCTGATTTCAATTTTTAGTTACACTTTTGTTCATATTAATATCATCTTTTGGCCCTGTTTGGTAAAATAGTTAGCTTATCAGCCAATTTTGACTTATTTGATTACTATTAATTGTTTGACTTAGTTAAAAAATCAATATAAGTGTTTAATTAATTAGTTTTTTTGTAACTTCAAAATGCTAAAATTCAAAAAGCTGTTCAAAACAACTTTTTCAATATAATTAACTTTTTAATAAAAGAAATTATACCAAACAACTATCCGCTAACAGCTAAGTTACCAAACACCTTTTTACAATAAGCTAATGTTATCAGCTAATTAATTATACCATATAATTAACTCAATCAGCTAACAACTATCAGCTAACTGTCATTTACCAAATATGACTTTTGTCTCTTTAATCAAGTAGCATTTTTATGAGTTTCATGCCTATATATTTAATTTCTAATTTTGCTACATTCCCTTCATAAAATAACGATTGTCATTATATTAGATTTTTCTTTTTCCATTTCAGTATTGCATAAGTCTTTTTATGAAATTTTCTTATGTCATTTATATGTGATGTGATTAGTCAAGTCAAGGTAAGGAATGATTTTTTATTTTTATTTAAAAAAAAAAAAAAAAACCTAAAAAGAAAAAACAAATCTTTTTAAGAAAACCGCCTTAGTATAAATAGTGCCACGTTGCAAGATACGGAGTACATAATTCTAGAACTTTTTTATTTAATTTATTGATATCAAATTTCTTCAAATTAATTAAATTGTTTTTGAAAATTAGTTAACAAGGTACACAATTATTTGAAAAGTACCAAATAAGTCAATTGCTTAATTAATGGTCCAGGTCTTTCTCTGTCTGCCCAATTCACTCCGAGAGAAACAAAAGCTGGCCCAGAGAGAATCATTACTTGTAGGAATTAAACCCGGGTTATCTCTCACAAAGAGAGCTCATTTGCCACTTGAGCTACCCTGTTGGGTTAATTAATTAGTATTATACACTTTCAAAAAAAAAAATTACAACAAAGTATTATAAAATTATTAATTTTTAACTATTTAGTAAATTCATAGAATAAGATATTATTCTTGTAAAGAATAATAAATGTTTTCAATAATTATTTAATAAATTTTATTGTAACGTAGGTCATGAAAGACTTTCAAGCTTGAAAAAGCTTGAGTTATTATCACTTCGAAGCACCCGAATAAGTGAGAGCAATGTCCAATCAATTTTCAGTACGTAAATTTCAAGTTTAATTCCTCGAGAAGTGCTTGATTGTAGCTATATATTAAATGTCTTAATGCAAAATTATTTGGGCAGGTATAAATGATTTCACCAATTTGAAGGAGCTTGACATAACAGGCAATACATTCGGAATCTTTGGGCCATGCACGGTATATACCAATCATTATATTATGGATTATGATTCACTTTATAAAGTAAATTACTCAATAACATAAGATTCATTTGTAATATATTGAATATTCATTTTTTAAGGTTTACTTTTTGATATACTACCAAATAATGAACCTTAAAAATATTAAAAATTAACTTTTAATATATTAAAAATGAACATTTATTCATAGTTCACTTTACGATCCATAGTATAATTTGCTTGGTATATACACTCACTGAATGACAAATTATACCATGAACCAAAGTCCACCTTGCATTGTGGGTCCTGGTCTGAAATGACATTTAAATTATGCACATGCAGTTAACATATTATGTACATTTAGTTAATAAATTATGTACTTATAAATAAATTAAAGGTACATAATATATATGCTAACATTAGATATATAATTTATTAATTGCATGTACATAAAATGTTAAATGCGTATTAGCTGCATATATATAATATGTTAATTGTAGGTACATAATATGTTAAGTGTATATGCATAATATATTAATTCTAGTAGGTACATAATTTAATTTATTAACGGAATGTACATAATATGTTAACTGTGGGTAAATAATCTTTAGAGTTAATTTCATTTTCAATCCTAGATTAGTGATGAAATTAAAATTTTGAAATTATTATAGGTATAGTATAACTAGATAGTTTCAAAAGGTTAGACCGTTAGAATGGAAAAGTTTGAAATTAAAATTCTTGCTTAAAATTAATTTTAATTCAAATCGATCAAGGAGGAGTAATTATCAATCAAAGCCATTCAGTATTTGAAATACAGAAGAATTGCATATGTTAATCTCTAACAAACATTGCCCTGTGTGAACGGGAACGATAATTAGTCCGGGTATAATACGAATTTAAAGATGCCTTTTAAGACATATTCAAAACATCTCGTGGTTTAATCACACTCACTAACAAAGAGTATATATGAGTGGGTGTTGGTTAATGATATACTGTATTTTGGCAGGTCGATCTATCAAATTTGGAAATTCTTCATGCAGCAGTTAATGGCTTTAATAAAAGCATATTCACAAGTTTAAAGCAGCTTCCATCACTCAGATTCTTAGATCTCTCTCGTAATGAGGGCATAAATGGATCAGTGCAAGTAAATGGTTAGTTTGCAATATATCAGCTTTCGATTTCTTACAATGACGCCAATATTTATCTTTCTAGTTTACTCTTTTCTATTTTGTTCTTTTTCCTACAACTTTAAGAGCTCCTTGCTTTAGAAGAATTGGATTTAAGTGGCACTGGAGTTGACAACTTTGTCGCTACTAAAGGTACGCATATATATATATATATATATATATATATATATATATATATATATATATGAATTCCAATTAATAACTATTTTAGATGTCTACGAATTTTAAAGTTAATATTCAATATAGTGACTATAGTGATTATACTCAAATTAGTCCTAAATGACTTTTTGACCCTGTTTGGTAAATGATTGTTAACTGTTAGTTGATTGAGTTAATTAGAGAGTATAACTAGCAGATAATATTACCTGATTGTAGGAAGGTGTTTAGTATAATTTCTTTTCTCAAAAAGTTAATTGAAAAAGCTGTTTTGAGCAGCTTTTTAAATTTTAACATTTTGGGGTTGAATTTTTAACCAAGTCAAACAATTAATAGTGGTCAAATAAGTCAAAATTGGCTGATAGGCTAATATTTTACCAAACAGAGCCTTTGTGCTCAATTTAGTCATCGACTTTGATGGTTTTACACAATTTAGTTTTTTGTTAAAAATTTTGTTAATTGACTGTTAGAAATAAGGTCCTAATGGTAATTTCACATCCTTCATCCCATTTGGGATGATTCTTTCTTCTTCCCCTTATTAAGATCCATGCAGAAATGCAAATCTTCGCACCCAAATCCAGGGTTGTAAAAATCGGTCTAGGCGCCTCTAGACCGTGGAGATTTCCCCTCTAGGCGCCCGCCTAGGTTACCGGCCACCTAGGCGTCCGCCAAGCGCCTAACTCGGCCGATTTGGCCGCCTAGCGTCTAAATTAGTCGAGTTAACTCGTCCATTTCGGTCGAGTTAACCCGATCGGCTCGGCCTATTTTTTTTATTATATATGTGTGTGTGTGTGTGTGTGTGTGTGTGTGTGTGTGTGTGCGCGCACGTGCGCGCGCGCACATACATTTATATAATATGACATATATACACTTGTAGACTAGTTTGATACTTTGAATCTTTAGATGATTGAAGTATTTGAGTATTTCATATTTGAGTATTTTTAATTTTTAATATTGTTTTAATGTTTTTTTTTTTTTTTGAAAAACATTGTTTTGATGTTATGACTTATGAATTATCATTAATTCATTTATTAGGATGTGTTATTTGATTAAAAATGTTGAAAGCAACCTCATTAAAATTTTCAAACTGCAAGTCTACCACTATTTTTTTGGCGCCCGCCTAGACCGCCTAGACGCTAGGCGCTGTTCGGGCGCTCGATAAGCGCCTAGCGCCTACTGCAACCATGCCCAAATCCAACTAAAAAAGCTATTTAAAAAAATTATAGACAAATATTTATTTAGTTATTTAGTGTTGAAGTTGATTTGGAATGAAAATCTCCATTTCTGCATGTTGCTTAATAAGGGGAAGAAGAAAGAATCACCGTACCCAAATAGGATACGGATGATAAATTACCATTAAGACCTTATTTCTAACAGCAAGCTAACAAAATTTTTAACAAAATGACTAAATTGTGTAAAATCATTAAAATCTATGACTAAATTGAGCACAAATAGTCATTTAGAACTAAATTGAATAAAATCACTATAGTCGATGACTATATTGGATATTAGCTCACGAATTTTATGAAGCAATTGTACAAGTTGGTAAGCTTGCTTGCGTGCACAGGTAATTATAAATTAAAATGGACACATATACCTTGTGCAATTACAATATATATATATATATATATATATATATATATATATATATACAAACGATTATACTTTTCTAAATACTAAAACCTGATGTTCTTATTTACAAAGTACAATTTACTCGATCAGTTAAAGCTTTTAATAAGAAAAAAAATATCATTATCAAACACGATTAATATTATTTAATTTGAGTAAAAAACAACACAGTAATTCAAAAATGTGGAATTGTAATGCAATATAGTTTATTATTGTTTTACAATAAGCATTATATTCTTCTAAGGTTGAACCCCAACCCTAAGGGCCCCCACACCCCGGCCAGAGCATTTGGGAGGAAGCATTATATTCTTCCAAGGTTGAACCCCAACCCTAAGAGCCCCCCACACCCCGGCCAGACAGAGCATTTGGGAGGAAGCATTATTTACTATTCTACTATATATATATATATATATATATATATATATATATATATATATATATATATATATATATATATATATATATATACTAATAAGAGCCAAAGAGAGTTAGGCCTATAATGGGTAGAAAAAATGGCGGTCAAATTTTTTAATCAAATGAATGGCTCAGATTGATCAGATTTTAATTTTTCCCTTAAATTTCTTAATTTATCCTTAATGAATATGATTATCCGTTAACTTTTTCGTTAAATATTATCTTTTTCGTTAATTTCTGTTAGTTCACCGTTAACTTACACATTGATTTCAATAAGATAAGAAAGGTCTTAGGTTCGAACCACATCCCAATCAAAGTTGGCATAATTAGTATTCTATTTTACTCTTATTAAATTAAAATAATAATTTAGTAGCTACAACAAAAAATAATACATATACAATTCTTTAATTTAGAATTATGTGTCCACAATGTCTTTATTCAAAAAAAATTATTCATTATCAATCAATTAAATAAGAGAAATGATTTCATTAGTTATATTGTCATTATTTTTCTCCAATATAAAAATTCTTTATATTCAAAATTCAAATTCATCAATGGATTATATTCGCTACATTGTCCCTACAATGTCTTTATTAAAAAAAATTATTCATTATCAATAAATTAATTAAGAGAAATCATTTTATTAGTTATATTGTATTTATTTTTCTCCAATGTAAAAATTCTTTACATTCAAATTCATCAATTGATTATATTCACTACATTGTCTATT